GTTTTAGTTTTTTTATACATTTCTTTTTTCTTTTCATCTTTTCTTTCTTTGTTTCTTTTTTTCTCTTTGCTCGTTTTCTCTATTTTTTTGTTGTACTTTCCTTCTTTCTTTCTTTAAATATGGATCTTCTTGTTCTTTTTGCCTCAAAAATTTTAAATCTCTTCTTTTTCATCTTTTTTTTTTCTCAACTTCCTTTCTTTCCGCTTTCTTTTTTTTTTTTCTTTCATTCTTTATAATCCTTCACTTTTTCTTTCCTGATTTCGATTTTCATTTTCGTTTCTTCCTTTCTATATTTCCACATTTTGCTTCTATCTCTTCTCTTGCAGATGATTATCAAGTTAAGTACGATCGCTTAATGGGCAAAATTTGAACCAAAAAGAACCAAAATAGACAATCGAGTCTTAAGCACAGCCGGAGAACCAAAATTGTGCGAATATCCAATTATTTATATATCTTTCATTGAACTGAAAATATTTCCATCGACCACAGTCTATTTGAAAACAGGGGGGGCGCCTTAATAGTCAGTGAGCTTGTCTAGTCGATCATTAATACTGAGGGGGTAGCTTTTTTAAATCATTTCCTTCCAAGTAAGGCGATAAAGTCACTAAGACGCAAGGGTGGGTCTTTGAGTTTAACAATATCTGAAATAAAATCACAATTAAGTTCGGTGGAGTAATGTATAGCAGATCGGATTGAGAAATCGGAAAGCCGAGTTCGAATTCTAGTCGAATCCATTACTTTCACTTACATGCTAATAATGTTGGGAAAGGTATGAATCCTCTTCTTCTCCCCCAAGCTATGGGTAAATAGCAGGACAGACCGGGTTCTGTAGCCTTGGATGGCAACTGGTCTACTGAAATGGCAACCTACTACGGGAAAAAGTAATAATGGATATAGGCTCGGATTGAGGAATCGGAGAGCTGACTTCGAATAACAGTCGAATCCATTACATTCACTTACGTGCTAATACCCTAGAGAAAGGTATAAATCTTCTTCTTCTTCTCCCCCACCTATGGGTAAATAGCAGGACAGACCGGGTTCTATGGCTTTGGATGGCAACTGGTCTACTTAATAGAAATGTTGGGGATTTGAATAATTTTCATAATAATTCATCCCATCTAGAAACAACAACAGAATGCAGAAAAGCACTGGAAAGACGTTTCGTTCTATTTTGGGGACTCATCATCAGTGCGCATCCGCTACAGAGAATCGAACACGGACCGTTACGATACGACGCAAACATCTTTACCCTGCTTTTGTCTAGCGGGCCTTTTTTGAATTAAAACTGGGAAACTAGACAAATATATCGGAGCTAAATTTTATTGAGGAATCGGAGAGCCGAGTTCGAATTCCATATCGAATCCATTAAATTCACTTACGTGCTAATACCTAATTGGAAAGGTATGAATCCTTAATTTTCTTTTAAATGGGTAAATAGCAGTACAGAGCGGGTTCTATAGCCTTGATGGCAATTGGTCTACCGCAGAAAGAAATGGCAACCTACTGCGGGAAAATTTGCCTTGTCAGTCATGTATCGAAAGATTATTTTCGCCTAAGCGTGTATTACGCAAAAAATCATGACTGAATTGATTAATTGAGAGGACAATTTTTTAAGAAGGCAGACGATATCGATTGACATTGTATTTAAGTTTTTTTGAAGATCAAACTTGACTGGGAAGAGAGTTCCATTAAAAAGAAGTGCCAGAGAAAAAACTGTTAGCATAGAACCTACGGCTACATCTAGCCATTTCAACTGTAAAAAATACGAGACGTTATCGCCAATCTAGTCAGTTTACAGTTATGTGCCATGCGTAATACATGTTCAGGGCGATTTAAATCTTTCGATACATGACTGACGAGACAGATTTTTTTTAAAATTCCAAAACAACCATTTCTTTTTGCGGTAGACCAGTTATATCCAAATATAGAACCTTTCTCTGTATGCTATTTACCCTGAATAGTGGGGGAAGAAGTCTACTCAAATAAGATTTTCCCAAGGGTCAGTAAATTTTATTGTTACCCATGCAAATACACGTTTAGAAATCATGTACCTCTTTCGATACAACTGACGATAACAGATTTTTTTCCCAGTAGGTTGCCATTTTTAATCTGCGGTAACCCAGTTGCAAAAGTCCAAGGCTATAGAACCCGGTCTGTCCTGCTATTTACCAATAGCATTAGATGAAGATTCATAACTTTCTCAAGCATATTAGCACGTAAGTGAATGTCATGGATTCAACTGGAATCTAGTACTGTGTTTAAATTCATAAAGTCTATGGAAACTTAAGGGAAAGTTCATCAGAAAGTTCATCATAAGAGGGTAGTTATAGAAAAGACACAGGGAAGCTACGTTACGGCGGTGGGAAAGGAACGGAAACTGAGATGCCTGGTTAGGACTAATAACATTGCAGATTCTTCTTTGGGTTTTATCAAGTATTTCTAAATATATAACAGGGGGACCAGACCATATCCTGCTAGCAACATTCAAAGCATAGACTACTCGAAGACTTATAAAACTTATAAATATCTAAGAATTATCGCGATAACAATTGTCTAGCCCAACACAGAAAACCAACATTTTTAGCAGCGGACCGAGAAATTAATTGAAAATGATATTTCCACTTCATATCATCGGAAGACGTTTGCCCGAGAAGGCGCAAAGAGCCATTCTCCTGGAGGATAGCATCAGCCATAATAACAAAAGACAAAAATGGTTCTCTAAGACGAATAAAAGAGACGAAGTTTCGTTTTGGGGCGTTAAAATTAAGAAGTAATTTCTTTCCCCAATTAACAAGAGATTGTAGGTCATGATTTGGTAGTAAAAGAGAAATAAATAGTTGTGTCATCTTTATGGATACCGAGTTGAGAGCTGATGACATCAGGAATACTTGCATTATTTACATTATTCGCACTGTTATCCTCATCTTCATTGTCATATTCACAACGTTTCGGCCGTTGTAAGCTAAGGCCTTCTTCAAGATCTGTCTATATTTTTGAGATGAGGTATTGTAATCATTTACAGTATTTACATTGTTCGGACAGTTGCCCTCATCTTCGTTTCCATATTCACGACGTTCCGGCAGTTGTACACAAACGGACTTCTTCAGGATCTGTCTATATTTCTGAGATGAGGTATTGTAATCATTTACAGTATTTACATTGTTCGGACGGTTGTCCTCATCTTCGTTACCATATTCACGACGTTCCGGCAGTTGTACACTACGGACTTCTTCAGGAATTTTTTATATTTCTGAGATGAGGTATTGTAATCATTTACACTATTTACATTGTTTGGACTGTTGTCCTTATCTTTGCCATATTCGCAACGTTCCGGCGATTGTACACTACTGTCTTCTTCAGGATCTGTCTATATTTCTGAGATGAGATATTGTAATCATTTACACTATTTACATTGTTCGGACTGTTGACCTCATCTTCGTTACCATATTTATGACGTTTCGGCCGTTGTATCCTACAGCCTTCGTAAGTTGATTGGAAATTCAGATCGAACCTCTTTTTCGTCCACCGGGTTAGATTGTTCTTGTTCCACGTGCCATGCCTCTTCCAGATCGCTCCGTTATTTCCCTTTAGCTCTACTCTCCAAGTTTTGGTTCACCACTACTGTGGCCTGGTACTGAACTCAGAATTCTTTGGGTCCAGTCGCTGCATCTCATCAATGTCTTTAGCCACTGGGTTGAAAAGAAGGCCTGAGCGTACAACGGCTGAAAGGTTGTGAATATGGTAATGAAGATGAGAATAACAGGTCGAATAATGTAAATAATGCACGTCACATAATACCTCATCTCAGAGATATAAACAGACATCAGGAATGTCTTTGATGAAAATGAGAAACGACGTATGTCCAAGGATATAGCTCTGGGGAATACCTGCATTAATGTAAGATGATCTAGAAGAGTGGCCATTCAAGACAACCTTCATTTTGAGATTTTATAAGAAAGACTGAACCAGTTTCTTTTAAGACAGGAGTAAATAGTTATGTCATCAGCGTAGATAAGGAGTTGAGAACTGATGACATCGGAAAGGTCATTGATGAAAATTAGAAATAATGTAGGATAGAGCCCTGGAGAATATTTGGATTAATGTAAAATGATCAAGAAGAGTGGCCATTCAAGACAACCTTCATTTTGGCATTTGATAAGAAAGACTAAACCAGTTTTTATTAAGACAGGAGTAAATAATTGTGCAATCAGCATAGATAACGAATTGAGAAGTGACAATATCAGTTTGCTTTTAGCTATTGTCAAGCTAAACTTAGCAAATGATGACTGGAGTTGAGTAGAATGCAAGAGCCCATTACAGGCTGGTTAGTCTACAATTCTCACTACAACAAAACCAACCGTACCAATTTTTTGTCTTTACTTAAGGGAAAACAACTTATTAATGGGGGTAGAAATTAAAATTTATTTAGCTGCTGGTAAATCTGAAGGAGAAGCAATTTGCTAAATATTAAAATGAGTCATAAATAATTTCCGTTTTTGTTTATCAATTTTTTCTTGAAAATATAAAGTACGTTTTGTTGAATTATATATTCATTCATTATTTCTATTATGGAAATTCTTTTATTATGTTTATGAATTGGAAGGGAAACCTGTTGTAAATGATTTTACTATGAAAATGCATTGGCCAATGATTTTTACTATGAAAATGCATTGGAAATGATTTTTACTATGAAAATGCATTGGAAATAATTTTTACTATGAAAATACATTGGAAAAAAATTTTATTATGAAAATGCATAGGAAATGATTTTTACTATGAAAATGCATTGGAAATAATTTTTACTATGAAAATGCATTGGCCAATGATTTTTACTATGAAAATGCATTGGAAATAATTTTTACTATGAAAATACATTGGAAAAAAATTTTATTATGAAAATGCATTGGAAAAAATTTTTATTATGAAAATGCATTGGAAATGATTTTTACTATGAAAATGCATTGGAAATGATTTTTACTATGAAAATGCATTGGAAATGA